TCCTATAGAGAACAGAGATTTGAGTTTAATGTTAACAGTGAATTAACAGTGACTCTCAAAAGCATCACATATAGAAAACCAACTAGTAATTCCACCAGAAAACTAGTAATATTCTAGACTCAATATGAGACAAATTTTCTCTTTTTCAATAATGTGGTTTCATACAAATAGTGTAATTAGGGAATGACCTTACAGAGCTTCATTGAGAACATATTCTTCAACTTTTCAAATCTTACCAAGGAATGGAATGTCTTTTAGATTAACTGCTGCTTTCCTACCACTATCTCATATATGTCAAGTTTTAATTATTTTAAAAGGATACCTCATTATAGTTTTAAACATGAACTTTAAAAAATTGCAGTGCATGTGTAAGCCAGCAGACTTAAACTGCTGGGGACTCTGTTAACTTGATATTTCCCTCCCTTAAAATAAGTACAAATATTGAATTATGTGACTTCATTAGCACATAACCAAAGATGAGTTTCATAGTATTTACAGTTGAAATTTCAATTAAGAAAACCCTATTTGCTTCATTTTTTTCTTACTCGTATGCATTGAATGCCAGGATTCAATATAGGACTCAGACCATATATATTTTCTATCCTGGTGGTAACCTGATAACTTTAAACAGAATTGTAGTAGAGTGATGTGCTTATCTACTCATGTTATGTCGCCTTTTGTAGATGATTATTTCTCAGACCAGAATAAACTAGATGATTATGATGGTTTCGAATTTATAATAAAATTTGTTTATTTAAAAAAATTTTATAATTACATAATAATTTATTAGGAACCTGTGGCATGTTAGACATTTTACTTGCACATCCTCCAGTTCTTCCAATATAATCCTTCATTTTACAAGTAAAGAAACTGAGGCCCAAAGACGTTAGCTGAGTGCCTGTAGCTTATAAACCTCAAAGGTGAGGTTTAACTCCAGCCACTAACATGCACTTTCCATCCGGTACCACATCGTTGTTAGAAGTTTTCTGTGCAGAAATATATTTGGTTTAAATGATTTCATAATCCTTGAAAGTAAATATTCAATCCTATACATTTGTGTGTGTGTATATTCTGTAGGTATCACTTATTCAGGGGCTTCTTGACTTGGACTTCATGGATCTTGGGGCTGCACAGAAGAGCTTCAGGAGCTCTCTGAGCACTTCTGAAATAGTGAGATGTTCTGTATATATTTGTCCTGGGCGTGGGTCCCTGTCTCCAAAAGGTCTGTGTGTGTACCTAAAATGAGTAAGACTCCTGATCTAGCCAACCCCCCTCATTTCAGGGATAAAGAAACTTGAATTGCAAAAAGGATGGGCTGTGTACGAAGGCAGCAGAGAACAGCCAAGGGAGAGCCGGAGTAGAGCAGGCTCTTGTGCTGACGGAGGCGAGGCTAACCTCTGCAGTCAGACGGCCACGTTAGTGCAAGTCCAGCCCCCGTCTCTGCTCTGTGACCACCATCCCTCACTAGGTGCAAGCCGCAGCCTCTGTCCCAGTGTGTGCAACTGAAAACTGTTAAACCCTTGCCCAGTCAGTCGTTAGGTAGGCCAACTTTGTGAATTGTAATGTGGAAAATATATTTGAAAATATTTCTAGGTCTCCTATGGCTCATGCCTCTAAATTAATTGAAATATTCACACAATTACACATACAGCATGTTACTATGTGCGATCCTATGGACTTTAAGGTATAAATATTAAAATTGAGAATATATATGCCACCAAGTCTATTGATCTTTTCTTAAAGCCCTTCTTCTAAATTCCAAGTGTAATGAACAAAAATAGTTTTATGAGGGAAAACTCCAGCTAGCTTTTATTAGCTTTCACTCAAATGCAGCCTGCCCTCAGATCTTAGCTACCATCCAGGCCTTTATAAGGCAGCAGGTCCTACAGAAATCAGCTGGTTTGCTCAAAACCATTCGCTCAAGATTCTCAGCTGAGTATGTGTGTACCCTAATATGATTCTACTTATCTCAAGGGAATGTCAATAAAATTAGCATCTCCAACTTTTAAAATGATAGCCGTGTGCTGTACTTTGGAGGATTTGGGTGATGGGGAAAAGATAACGAATTGCCCATTTAGAAATGTAGAATTAATCCTCTGAGAGCTTTGATGCCAGCCTTGGTAGTTTTTATCAAGGAACTTTTCTGGTCTGTTACCAAGTTTTTGTCAGGTTTGTGTTTAACTTAAGGGCTGTTTTCATTCAATCCCCACAACAAAAGATGTGGAGTTTTCCAGTGGAGAGGTAAGGCCAACCAGAAGAATTCTGTGAGGTAATTGGGATCCTGCTAAGAAGACAGGGAGGAATTAGTTTCCTCAGTTTTCAATGTATTATTGCTTCCTTCTCAAAACACCTTCTCTCTTGACTTTCAAGACCCAACACTTTTTTAAAAATTAAGGTGTCATTGATATACACTCTCATAAAGATTTCACATGAAAAACACTGTGGTTACTACATTCACCCATATTATCAAGTCCCCCGCATACCCCACTGCAGTCACTGTCCATCAGTGTAGTAAGGTCTACAGAGTCACTACTTGTCTTCTCTGTGCGTGATACCCCCACACCATGTGTACCAGGCATAATGCCCCTCAGTCCCCTACTCCCTCCCTCCCCACCCACCCTCCCCACCCCTCCCCTTTGGTAACCGCTAGTCCCTTCTTGGAGACTGTGAGTCTGCTGCTGTTTTGTTCCTTCAGTGTTGCTTCGTTGTTATGCTCCAAAAGACCCATACACTTTCTTAGCTTCTCCCCTACCTCTCAGGCTGCACTTTCTCAGTCATCATTGCCAGGCCCTCCTCTTTGCAAGCATGAAATGTTGCAGGGCCTGAGGGCTCAGCCCCAGATGTCTTCTCTCTCCCGGGCGCAGTAATTGTTATCTCTACGCTAAGTGCTGTTACTGCCACATTCTCTTTCCCCCGACTGCAGGCTCACCTAGCCCACTGCCCACTCCATATCTCCATCCAATTTTCTGAAAGGTGTCTCACACTTAACCAATCCCAAACCGAACCCCTGACTGCACCCCAAGATGCTCGTCCCTGCTGGGCCCTCCCCATGTACTAAATGGCATCGCTGCTCACCCAGTTGTGTGGCCCAGATCCTTGGTGGGGTTTCTGTCTCCTTTTTTCTCTCAGACCCTGTATTCAAATCCCCAGCGCTTGGTTCTGCCCTCAAAATACATCCAGAATCCAGCCACTTCTCAGTACCCTTCAGCAGCCAGCCTGGCCCAGGCCATCCTCTTTCCAGGCTGTCCTCTGCAGTAATTGGTCTCTCTGCTGAGTTCTTGCCCCCCTACAGTCCTTCCTCCACCCAGCAGCTAGACGGTTCTATTAAACGATACGTCAGATCATGTCATTTCGGCGCTCAAATCCGTCAGTGTCTCCCCTCCACATTTAGAACCAAAGCCAAAATCTGTATAACCCTCAAGAACTTGACATGTTCCGGCCTCGACTGCCTCCTCCTCCTCGCTTCCCACCCGCCCTCCCCCTCAGGCTTGCCCTACCCCAGGCAGGTTGCGGAGCTGCCTTTCAGGCTCCCAAAGCTGCCGGCACGTTGCGCTTGCCGGGAGGGGTTCACACTTGCTGTGCCCTTTGCCGGTAACAGGCTTCCTGCCTCATTTCTGTGGTTCGCTTCTTCCCTTAGGCAGTGTCTGCTCAGACGGCAGCTCTTCTCCGTGCCTGACCTGCCCTATCCAAAAGAGAAGCCCCACAATTTGATCTACACCCCCTTACTCCATTTTTCCTGGTAGCATTTCTCACTATCTGATGCTAATTTTGATTGATTTATTGTGAGCCCATCTTCCCTGTAAGCTCTGTGAAGCAGTGCCAGACACCTAGTAAGTAGTAAATATTTGTCAAATGAATTAATGAATAATATCCTAGACATTAGATCTATTGCCTTTGCTCAGTCTCTTTCACTGAATGTGTAAATATACAGCTGGCCATGTGATATTTTATTTTTTATTGGTTTAAGCCACTCCTTGCTTATCTAGCCAAAGGTAGTTTCATAGCAGTAGAAAGTAAGGGAGACAGGGTCCTCATCACTCAGCACGGACCCTAATATCCTGAGGAAATCAAGGTGCATTTAATCCAGAACAAACAAGTTTGTTTTTCTTGCTTTTTTTCCCCACAATTGATATACACTGGGCAGGTCATTTCAAAAAAATAATTATAGAATCTGGTATACTGCTTCAGTTTCCTTACTGTAACTGAGAACAGGATTGGGTCTGGGAGACTCAGACTAAGACAAGCAAGCCTGCACATTCCCATTCCCTCTCTCAGATGCCACCTCATCCCCCTTCACGAGGACTGACACCTGTGGGTAGCTGCCACATTCTTTTGTATTACAGATGAAGTCATCTGAGCCCCTGGGAACATTGATCCCACCACCCTGCAGGTTGCTGTCTATTACTAAGACCTTCCATTGCGCAGCCTATATTTCTGGCTCTGGGCCACTCCTTGATCACTTTTGATGGGAGAAAAGGATGTATTAACACATAGCAATTAAAATTCTAGCAGTTGACAAAGATTGGCTTGAATCATCTAGTCTTGTGGTTCCCGAACCTAATTACTTAACAAATGCCTAGGCAGCTTTTCAGAAACACAGGTCCCACTCTATGCCTGGGGTTGGGATAGGGCTCTGGTGTGGTACACACACACACTCACAAATTAAGGGCAGAAAAATCGGGGCAGAGATGGTGGCGTAGGGTTGTCTGAAGAGGGAATGTTTAGTCTGTGATGGGAAGTTTCAGGGGAGGAACATGACAGGCAGGAAGTGGCATAATGTGTTTACAGAGTTAAAAGCAGACCAGTCACTTCCACAGCAAGTGACCAGTGGAAGGGCTCAGGGTGCGGTGGGAGGGAGGGCCTGGGACCACGTCAGGGAGGCTTTGCAGGTGAGGATGAAAGGCTTGGGGTGTTCACAGGGCTCACGGGTTCCTGAGGACTTAAGCACTGTGTGGAGAGTGGGTTGCAGGAGCCCCGAAGTGGGAGCTGGAGACCTGAGCATGGCTGTGGTGCCCTCTGATGGTGAATGGGACCGAATGGTGGCACCCAAGGTGGAGAGGACATGGCAGTTTCAGGGTGTGAATTTTAAGAAAGTCAACAGGCCTTGCTGAGGAGTAGGAAGTGGGCTGGGGGAGAGGACGGGGAAGCACAGGCGACGTCCAGGAGGTTTTAGCAGAGGCAGGAGAGGGTGTGGGTGAGTGCCCTGGTTGCCTCGTCTGTAAAGTGGGGATGTTAAGGGACCTCCCCCCTGGGTTGGTGATGAACTGACGTTCTAAAAGCTCTTAGAACAGAGCTTGGCACACAGTGAGGCACTCTGCAAGCATAATGCTGGTGTGAATGATGGTGACGCGCCCACAGTCGCAGCTGGTCAGCAGCAGGTCCAGGACGAGAAGCCAGACAGCCTCTTGGTTCAGCGCATTTTGTACTACACTGAGCTGCCTCCTTCCATTACCTTTGGCCCTTTTTGTTTGTGCACACTCTTGGTAGAGGGTTTGATCATCTTGGTACAGGATGAGTTGCACTTAACGTAACACATGAATGTTGCACCAAACACGATGAATTTCTGGGGTGTTCTATACAGCCTGGAATTCCAGATTATTTTGGCTGTCCATAAAACCATGCACTTGCAGACAAAACCCAGGGCCCAGATAGCTAGGGGAAGGGGGTACAGGAAGACAGATGATCTATGGGTAGATTTTCAGGGTTAAAAAGAAGTATCTTCCAGAATATAGATGTGTTCCTGTTGTGCACATGCTCAGACTGGAGTGGGCACACGCAGTGCAACAGGAGACGGCACTGAGAGTCCTCATACCGGAAGTTATAGGTCAGTGCGTGCCAGGAGAAGGAAAAAAAGAAAGCTAAGAATGTTCGTGTAACTCTTCCAGATTGTCAGGTTCCTAGTGATACATCTTAAAGAATTGTTTGAAGTGCTTCTATCTGTCAGTTTCAACTAAGCTAATTTTTAAATATTGCTCTTTGTGCCTTTCTCGTGAACCTCTGTGGATTTAATGCATGCAATATGTGGGGGGAAATCCTCTCAGCCTCAGCTCCCATCCCCCCAAATCTGAGAAGCGGATTTTAGAAGCACATTGTGGCACCTGCAAGGATTTTTGTCGTTTTATTAAATGGACCTGAGAGCATGTTCAGTGTGTCCTGTAGGGAGGAATTTCAGAAAGACGTGAGAGAAAATGCCAGCTCTGGCCACTGCTCCTGCTTGCTGTTTTGTTGCATCTCTATCTCAAACAGCGAGGGGAGGACTGTTCTTCATTACCAGGGAATGTGAGTCATTCCCAGCCTGGTGTGATTGGGATTCCAAAGCGTTGCTGTATCCGATGGTCTTATTAAATCCAAGTGTCATTGCAGCCTTTCAGACTGTAGGGGAGAGCTCAGTTACAGCTCGTGACCTGGTTCTAGTTACCACACAGAGACGCTGGCGAGAGTGGTGACCCCCTTCGAGCACCCAGCATTCTTCATGGATGGCTGTTACCAACCTTTCCCAGATTTGTCAGTTTCCTGGTTCAATTCATGGGCTTCAGTACGCTTCAGGTCCCTGTTTATATCCTGGTTTGGATCTGTACACTTTCGGGGAAGATGATCTGATGTCTAGACAAGCTAGTGCCAAGATTAGCCCAGCATTTGGAGGGTACCTTGCTTCAGATTCACTCAGCCCTAGCAATGGTAACTTCAGCGTATCCAGGATCTAGCAAGACACTATACTATCCATTTCCAGCTTGGTCCAAACAAAACAAATAAAACATCAACCAGAGAGGGAGGAAACTATAGATGTTGCCAGAAAATTAGTTTGCTCTTTCTTTTCTTTCTTCTAGAATGTTTCACAGCCAATGGTGCAGATTATAGGGGAACGCAGAACTGGACAGCACTGCAAGGCGGGAAGCCATGTCTGTTCTGGAACGAAACTTACCAGCATCCGTACAACACTCTGAAATACCCCAATGGGGAGGGGGGCCTGGGCGAGCATAACTATTGCAGGTAAGATGGGGCCGCACAGTACTTAAAGAAAAACATCTCTGGTGCCCTTCCGGTCCCTTCCAACTTTGTTCACAGCTAGGAAAAGCTTCTTTGTCTCCTTTCAGCCAACTCAGAAGACCTTTCTTGTTAGTATTTTAAAAATCTTTCTCCCATACCTTGTGTGTGCATGCGCGCACACACACACTCACACAGTCTACCACTCAGGTTGCTTTGTTTTTAGAGCTCTGCTTTCCTGTCTGATCATTTACCTGTCTCTTTGAGAGGTTTTCCCAGTTGGCCCTGCCACTAGTGGAAAATATAGACAGCAAAGGTTCTTAAGCTGCTGTGAATGTGATCAAGCAGAGCACCTTCTGTGGCCCAAGCCTCCCTCTGCTTCTGAGCAAATGAAGCTGCCTTGCATTATCCCACCTCCCGCCGGCCCAGGATAACCTTGCTCTGGGAGCAGCTATAGTCAGCAGATTGGTGCTATTTCTTTCCTTCCAGTAGACTGAGGTGTTTCTTTGCCCTTAACCTCCTGTCTATTTCCAGCAGGAGCCCTTAATCTGAGATGCAAGGTGCTTCAGATATGTATTTGCTGTTTTCTAGGGAGATGATCCATAGCTTTAATCAGATTCTCAAGTTGTCAGTGATCCAAAACAAGAAGAATCACTGGTCTGTAGGGAACAGAGCAAAGATTCTAAGCACTTTTGGTTATAGCTACATTTTAGCTATTTATACCCAAGGTCCAGGTAATGTGACTCATGGTTCAGCAGTGTTTTGAGTTTAATTACTATTAGGACAGGTGCATAGCCTCTTGTCTCTGCTGCATTGGGACAGGGGGAAATGATGGCCGAGCTAGACTTTGAGCTGCACACAGTGTCCCCAGTTCTACCAGTATGTTGGACTCTCAGCTATGGCACTGTTGCCCCGGCTGAGCCAACAGTTATACCTGCATTGTGTGGGCCACACTCTTTACCTCCTGCCCTCCCTGCACACCTTTCCTAACACTCCAGGACCCTCGTGGTTTTCTTGAAGTCCCAGGCCTATAGTCCCTGCTATCTTTACCTCTGTACCTTCAGCTCTTTGCTTCACCTTTGTTCTAATTTGTACCCTCCAGCCATTCCCCCATAGTTGTGGTTGCATTATTTTTAGTTTGTTTGTAATTATAAAAGTATTAAAAGCTTTTCCTCCCATAAATTCTTAAAAACTACAAATGTGTGTTGTTTAAATAAAGTGCTCCATTTTACTTCTTTCCCCACAAATCCTCCCCAAGAAGCCCTACCTTCCAGAGGTAACACTTTGTATACATGCTCCTTCACAGCTTGCTATCTTTTGTATTTTATTGTCAAAGTTACATATGCTTATTAAGTAATCTTTTCATATTTTGTCTTTAAAGTTATACATGTTCATGAAAACTACTTTTGCATAATTAAAAAAAACCAGCCCCTTTCCGTTTCTGGTGTGTTCCTCTCCCTAGTTTTTCTGTAGGAATAGTTGGGTTGGGAAGAGTGTTTAGGAAGAGAAACCGGAGTTTTGTTTTTTGTTTTTTTTACATAGTTTCTCATATTCTTGTTCTAAAGTGTGTTGATAGCGGGCTACTGGTTTATTCCATTATTCTGTTGCTTTCTGTCAAACAAGTCTTCTCAGAAGAGTTCCTGTTTTTAAGTTTGACTTTAAGGTAAATTTTAAATTTCCAGTGAGGTTTAATTTATGTGAAAAAAAGTCTTCTCTCATAGATTAGTTCTACCCAGAGACTCCCAGAACTACACAGTAAATGTCCATTAACAGCAGTGAGAACCGGGGAGGACCATGTTCCTCCTTAACCCTGGCTGGCCGCAGCCTCTCCTTCAATTTGATGAAATGTACCAGACCTGAACTACTAGTTCATCCTTCAAAAAAGAAGAGGCTGAAATTGTTGATTATTGTCACGTCAGAGAGTCCGGGCCTTTTGTTTTAGCTCTGCAGCGAAGTCAAAGATGAATTTGCTTGTTCTTTATTAAGCTATTCTGGTGCTTTTCGGAGTAGTTTGACATTGATAATAAACAGTTGTTTTCTAAGGTCTTTACCAAATACTACATCAAAGCCAAACACTGAATAGAGGGAAGAAGATGACAGTGAAATACTGTTTAAAGAAGGGCTTTTGTACAAGTTCTCCTACTTGATTTCTCGGCTGACACCCGACACCGTGTTTGTCTTGCGCACATTGTGTTTCCAGGCCCATCACAGTGGAGATGTCTGGGAGATGGTGCATGAGGGGGGTGCGCTTCCCCAGGCTCGGCATGGCTGGATTAGAGGGGAAGGCAGAGAGCAGGAAGAGCAGAGCTGGCGCTGGCACCTGCCTTTGGGCACAAAAAAATGAAAGGACCCTTTGTGCTGCAGGGCAGCTTATCTTCTGGGCCACACAATAGGCTTATCCCTCCGGGGCCTGATGGGGCTGCTCTAAAGCTCTGGCTGCAGGGTCTTTGTGCCCTTTTCCGGCCTAACTGGAGTGTCAGGTTTCCAGTGTTCTGAGTCTAAAGAAAGGAAGTTTGGAAAGAAGGGGAGAGAGGCAAGTCTTTTTCTGTTTGTCCAGTAACCCCTGCCATTTTTTGGTCTGCCTCAGCAGTATTACCCATTAGCGTCATGGCGTCTCTGAGCTGAAAAGATGTTAAAGTGCGTTTATTCCAAGCCACTCATTTAGAAATGTGAACTAAATCTTTCAGAAATATCATTGCCATATCAGAAGTTGGTACCAGGATTAGAAGATGGCATGTTGTGATTGAAACTCTTTGGCACAGTTTTCTCCAGAATTCTCTGAGAAGTTTAAGGTGGGAATAGGTCCCACTTCCATCAGACGTGAGTTGACAAGGCTGATCCTGGTGACAGCTTGTCAGCAGAGTCTGTATTATATGAATTTTATTTTATTGTTTAAAAAACTACATTGTTCATTGTAGAAGAAATAAGATAACAAAGAGAATCAGAAAAGAAAAAAAGCTTTTGGATTACCAATAGTCTCATCATTCAGAAATACTTTCAAGGGTTCAGTGTGCATCCTTCCCCACACACATCTTTTCAAATAGTGGGATTGTGTCATCTATCATGTTTTAGAACACCTTTTAAAAAAACCTAACAAGACATTGTGAATATCTTTCCATATTAATTAATATTTCTCTGTACCACATTTTTACTAGCTGCGTAGCAGTCCCTTTTACAGCTTTAACCTACTTATTTAGTCAATTCTTAATTATTGTTTTTTAAGATTTTTGTATTCTAAAAATGCTGTTGTGAACATCTTTGTAAGTAAAGATTTCCTTAGAATAAAGTACTAAGGGAGAAACTGCTGAGTAAAGGGAGTTTGCACATTAGGGCCTTTGACTCTAATTACAAAATTGCCCTCCCGACTGGTTTGTGTACACTCTCATTCTTATCTGCAGTCTGAGAGCTCATGGGAATTGCTGTGTTCACACTTCAGGTGCCAGTGCTGTTTGGCATGAACTGTTCAGTGGCCAGTTGTCCTGGTTACACTATAGTGGGTCTGTGTAAACATTTATCACCTTTGCCCACTCCCTCCTCCACCCCCCAAACTCTGAAGTATATGTTGGAGTGGATGGGTTTGTTCTTGTAGTATTTGTACTTTTTCTTCTTCAGAAGAGGTGGCATTGAGATACATACCAATTTTGAGAAATAGCACAGAAGCTGAAATGTTCCTTTTCTGTAAAACTGAAAAGCAGTGATCCAGTTGACTTAGAACGACAGAAGTGTTACTAACCATGTTGTTTACCCCAACAGAAACCCAGATGGAGATGTGAGCCCCTGGTGCTACGTGGCAGAGCATGAGGACGGCGTCTACTGGAAGTACTGCGAGATACCTGCTTGCCAGAGTAAGATTCATGCGCAGCTGGAAGTTTTGGGTCACTGAATACCCAGAGTGCAGAGGGGAAGGCCACTGCCAGAGGGCAGGTAGTTCAGGCCTGGGGATTTCAAGAAGCTGGTGAAAGGAGAAGCCATCCTGGGCTAAGGATTCCTACCTTTCTTGTTGAGGCTTTTCAGAAATGGGAATTTCTGAAATTTTCTGGTTCCCTCAAAACCCCATTCCCTTGATAGATAAACCCAATCAGAATTTTGCTTCTACTTGGTTTCCTCATGCTGAGTCTTTCATCACTGAGATTTCAACAGCTCAGTGGCAGAGCCTCCTGTGCAAAAAAAGGGTATTGCACTTTTGGGACTGGATTACTTAGAATGAATGAAAAATCTCTTTATGGACTGTAAAACTAAGTCAGGACACTACTCATTATTTGGATATACCCCCTGAAAAATGGTGTTCAGTGATATCTCCTTAGATACTTTCCAAAGCCTTTTCCTTACATTAACGTAAAGATGTTCTATTGTTTTTTATGAAAACTCACATCTTGTCCAGCTCTGCAACTGAAAAACCCACTTCAGCCTTTTACTTCAAGGCCTACTGTCTAACTGTTTCTTTCATTCATTTCTCCATTCAGCGCTTATTATATGCAAGGTCCAAGGCAGAAGGGTGCTCTGACCCTCAGGGAATATGTGATAATGGCAGGGGATCTTAGGAAGATAATTTAAAACAAAGTAGAAAACATTGTCGGAAGGTTTGAAGTACAAAAACCAAAAGTAAACGTGGTACCATCAGGAGTTTACTAACGTAATGTTTAAATATCTTTTTAAATATGCTGAAGGAACAGGGCTTCTTGGTTCCTAGAACCAAAGAAAAGAGCAGCTCATTGGTAATATTTTTATCTGGGTTATTTTTTCCTGATTATTTAGAGCTACGCCTTGCCCTGCCACCTTTCCCACTCCTTAGGTCAGGAGGCTGTGTATGTAGCGTCATACAGTTGTTCATGTGGGCCCTGGGACCCTCTCACTCACCCTGCGACTGCTGCAGCGGACTCAGCCTCGGTCCCCCAAGGACAAAGGGCATCCCCTGAGCCAGTATTGCAGACCCAGCACTCACCTTCCCTAAGTCATACCCCCAGATGTCACCACTGCCTGGAGGCTAAGTCCTAGCTTCACTACCCTGCCACCCTGATTATGCCTTGATTCAGACAATAGTGAAGACCAGAAGAATGGGCTTCTGCTTAGTCTGGTTAACCACATTTTTAAAATGAAAAATGTCTTGTTTGGCTCTAGTTATCTAAAGAAGCAAGTGGCAAGGGAAGAGGAAAGCAGATTTTCCTCGGTCCATTTGTTTTACACAAAGATAGTCTTTTAGTACCAGCCTATGTCTTTCTCTCAGGAATGGTGAAGAAGGGATCTCAATCTGGGTGCTTTTATTGGGAAAGATAATCCTCAACTTGCATTTATAAAATAAAATTTGGGTCAATGGGAGTTGACTCACATGCAGTCTCTGAACTAAGAACCGGAAGAGAGAATTATATCAGAACGGTGCAAACTATCTAGTACCACTCTAATTCCTAATATTGGTTGGATGTGCCTCCCTGTTCCAAAAAAGGGGCACATAAGTATCATTTCCTTTTCGTATGGCCCTTTGGTAACCCCCTGAAAGCTTCTAAAGTTAACTTGAAACAGTTTGGGTAGGGAAGACTTTAAAAAGTTGGGAACGAGAACTGAGGGGGACCTGGTTTGGGAGTGAAAGTGTCTGGCCTTGGTTCTCCGGAAGACTTCCGTTCACCCTGTGGCACCAGGGCTGCCCCCCAAGCCGAGCCTTAGCCCTTGAGTCTGGCAGAACGCTGTGCTTCTAGTGTGTCTGATTAACACAGTTGAGAAAAACTTCTGCTCTGTTTACAGCAAGAGACCTTGGTAATTGCCTAGTGGACTCAACTGACATACAGCCTGCCTATTTTAGGCCAGTGTTGCCCTATTTCTGGATGTGGAGTCATAATTTTCATGAATAATACTGACTCTCTGTGTGAAGCCTTCTATTCATGATTAGCATTGAACTTGTTATACAGGAAAAGGCCTGGGACATGATCAGATTCCTGGAAAGTTCATATCTGAATATAACAGACCCAGCAGGAGCCAGGGGAATAAATGTTAAGGGACAAAGCAGAGTGTGGTTGAATGATGGACCATTATGTGGAGACTGGGATCTCTGCCCCTCAGTGTATTATGTATAGAGCTAAAACAAGCAGGGAGGCAGAGACGAAGTATGATTCAAAGAGGGGGCAGAGAGGAACTTGAACTGTGCTCTTGACCTGTGCAGCGTGGATCAGAACTTAGTGTTAAAAGGAGAACAGCTCTGACGTAATTGGATTGCTCTTCAGACCACTTCTGCCAAGAAGTTTCTCAGAAACCCGAGTTTTTACCACAGACAGAAGAAATACAGACTTGTAAAAGCAAATCCCAGCGTCATCAAGTTTACCATCCTTCTAGATCCCACGCTCTGAATCGCTTACGTCCTGTTGGGTCGGCTGTTGAGGGGGAAAGCCTCTGCTTACTATCCATGCTCTGCCTGTCTCTCTTTTGTTAAATGACCATCCCTACCATTCTAAGTCCCATTTGTGTCATTGCTTTTAGGGACATGCTGGTATGGACCTCAGCATGGCTTTTGCTTTGCTCTGTTTTACCCATAGGTTCTTTATAAAAGGTTTGTCAGGATTTTTAAAAGTAAGTTATCTAGTTGTCAGCAGTCAAGGGTTAGAGGGACTTGCAAATGACCTTTAAAGGCAAATATAATTTTCTTCACATAGTTGATTTGGGTCCTTGAAGGCATGAGAGTGAGAAATTCACCTTCTCATCTCTGAGAGCTATTTTGTTTCTTTTTTTTTTAAATTAAGGTATCATTGATATACAATCTTATGAAGGTTTCACATGAACAACATTGTGGTTTCAACATTCACCCATATTATCAGGTACCCTCCAACCCCATTGCAGTCACTGTCCATCAGCGTAGTGAGATGCTACAGAGTCATTACTTGTCTTCTCTGTGCTGTACTGCCTTCCCCGTGACCTACCTATACTGTGTGTGCTAATTATAATGCCCCTTAATTTCCTTCTCCCTCCCTTCCCACCCACCCTCCCCAGCCCCTAAGAGTTATTTTTTGTTTGCTGTAAAACATGTATTTGATTTCAATATATATCCAATTGTAAAAGTTCATCTTTGATAGCTAAGGAAATTTGAATACAGACCACTTGATTATATTAAGCCATCACTGTTAATTTTATTAGGTACAATATGGCATGTTGGTCATATATGTGTGTGTACAAAATTTTTTAAGTCCTTTCAAATTACAGAAACTTACTGAAATATTTGTGGTTGAAATTATATTTTACCTGGGATTTGTTTTAAATGATCTAGCCTCCCAGAGAATGAGGGGGAGGGAGGTGCAGATAAGAGAAATAGATGGAACAAGAATGGTTAAAAAAAAAAAAAGGTGGGTATTTGTTGATGCTGGGTAATGACAGGCTCATTATT